GCATCTGGTGCCATTTTAGATGCCAAGGGTATCCAAAACATCTGCCTTGGGCTGGCAGATGTGACAGAGGAGCCCACACTCTTCTGCAGGGACAGCTGGAAACAAGGTGAGCTGTCCTAGGCTGTCTGAAATGCACTGAAAGGCAAATGAGTCCCACCCGAAGTTTTTGTTCTGACTGCAAGTGCAAGTCCGTTTTCTCCCTGATATCCATGGGCACTCCCATCTATACAGACACAGGCTAATGTTTCTTCTCTAAGAGCCTCAGAAGAGAAAGGTACTTCCTAGAAGTCAGCACCTATATCGAGCAGTCCTGATGTATAGCTCCAGAACGCTACATGGGGCAGCATTATGGAGCCAGACTTTTTTTTACCCTGCCAGGCAGAGAAATATGCTTAGCTGGCACGTGGGAAATTTCTTCTCTTTCAAATGAAGTCCTTCATGCTGAATTAAGTTTTTGAATTCCATCCCCATTGGTCGCTTTGCCTAATCAACGCTCTCTTATTATTTCAGAGGGGGCCCATGCCTTTTCTGCGACTCTACTAAATTACTTTGTGCTGGCATGAATACATTTGCTCCTTGATGTTCTTTTTAAAATGAAAATGGATATGAAAATTTACTCTAAAATGTACATTGCTCATAAAACTTTCATTAAGTATTATTAGTGCTTAAGAGAAGGATTTAATGTATTTGGGAAGCCAGGCTACACGATCCCTATATTAAAGAAAGTCTTACGCTTGGGGCTGATTTATGCTGAATATCAGAGATTAGCCTAAACCAAGCTTTCAATTCTCGTATCATTTCTTCTGCTAGGGCTTGGCCCTGCTGGGAGCAAAGGAGACATTTCAACAATTTGATGCCACCCTAGGAAGCGGGTGGTAGAGACTTACAAGCAGATATTAGAGATGACATTACATTTCAGTCAGGGCTTTAGCTATGTTCATAACAATAAACACAGGGAGCACTTTACCAGTCGATCATCCCCCCCATTGCCTTTCAGGACCCTGTCATTTGAAAGCCTCAGAGGACAATTATCCTGCATTTTGTTGCGAAGAAGCTCATGTTGCTTAGGGGAATTTAGATGCACAGATCCTTCTGTGGGACAGCTGGGAGACAATGGGAGAGTTGGACACTTGCTCCTATTCAGGCAGCTTCCCTCCAGAGGATTTCCCATTACAGATGTCAAGATTTTGTTGAGAATTTACATATAGGGAGGGAAAAAGAGTCCCCTGGTACCAAATCAGAATGCGACTCCAAGTGAAAAGATCCTTCTTTACTCTACCCTACATAGGTAAAAGCCAAGAGGTTCCCGTTATCCATAAACACAGCTACAGGAGACTGGAAAGAGATGGACAACTGAAAAACCCACAGGAATGTTATAACTGCTTAAGAAACCGATCCACCTCTCTTAGTGCCACCTTGAAAGGTTGAGTCTTAGTTTCTCCTTCGTTGCTCTCTTTCCTTTGCTAAGCTGTTCAATCACTTCATCCTAAGTTCTCATGTTACTATTTGTGTAGGCCTCAGTAGATGTTTTAGGACATCGGAGATATAACTACTATCCTTGGAAAAAAATGAAACAATAATACTTCTGTGCAAAGTGATGGCAGAAACTGCCTCACTGCATGGGTGGGATATGCATCAAAGCTGTTGGGTTTTTAAATGCAAAATAAGCGGCAAGGCATCAAAGGGAGTCTTCAGAAATGCCCTAACCCTGTATTATACACAGGCAGTGGGAAAGTAAGAGTGGAGAGCAACTTTCTGATGGGTCAGACATCAATGGAGAAAGTCTTACATTCAATTCTCTATAGACAGGATGAAGGGAGGAGAAGGTATCTACCAAGAAAATAATACTGTAGCACCAACAAACCAGCTGGGCTTAAGTTGGTTAAACAAAAGGACTAATGGTCCTTATGCTTCCAAGTAATGTCTACTTCTTGATGATACTATTCACAGAGTTCTATCGATAAAAATTTCAGCCAGAAGCTTTAAATTCAAGGAATTGTGTCTGGAGTTTTTATTACAACGCTATGCCAAATGTATGCAAAGCTTATATTACTACCTCAAACAGATCTCAGACGTACTTTAACTCCATAGAGTGAACTGTTAAAATGCAAAGTTCTCATAGGCCTTGGAAATAACGGCACCAGGCAATCCTCTAAATATTTATGTAATGTGAGTGCAGCCATTTTCCAAAATCCTTCATAAATGCATTAAAACATTAAGAGCTGGTCCTGAACTCTTAGAGGGAATTTCTAACCATTATTAAAACTTCCCTTTTCAGTAAAACCCAGAGACCTTTTCTCTGCTTTATTTCAACTATAAAAAAACCTTTCAAGCCCATTTAGCGAGGGTCACCCAGGTGCATGAAAGATCTTCAGGATCATGTCTGTTAAATATATCTTTTTTTGACTGGGTTGACAGCCCCCAGAAACAGGATTCCCTCTTAGGGTTTCAGTAACTCCTGAATCTTATGGTTTAATCACACGAGAGGGTTTTCTCCCCTTTCTCTTCCCATGTCCTGCTTTGCTTATGGATTCTGTGACTGTTCTCACCTCTAAGAACTGGAGGGTGGTGTTTTCAACTGAGCTTATCACTGCTTGACTTTACTGGCACTGGCATTAATAGGGAAACTCCTAAATCTGCTTGACTTTGGCAGCCACTCATTGCTTTCTCATTTTTGAGATCAGAGCACTTGGACTGCCTTTCCCATCAGGAAAAGAAACCTTGCTGAAGGGTAGCATCATGGCCTTATACTTCTGCGTCCTGCACTCCACAGGGTTAACGCAGCACCCAGACACAGCCAGGTTCCTGCATCTTGCTGGGCTACCGTGTGTCACCAGGGCTCGCGTGCACATCCTGCCCACATGGCAGTGGGCTCCAAGGGCACACAGTGGCAGGCTTGTTAACTGGTTAACCTATAGAAACCTGGTAAAATGTCTGATCTCCAGGTGCTCGGTTATTGGTAGTTTTGGAGTAACCTCCCTATATTTTTCTGAAGACTAAGCCAAGAATTAAGATGGAGGGGGGAGGGAAGGGAGAATGGGGTGGAGGGGGTTGGCAGAATACAAAACTATTTAAAAAAAACTAAAAAAGGCTTTTTATGACTGTAAGAAATAGTGAAACACCAAAGAATTATTCATTTGACACCCTGCAAAACCAAGGTCACAATAAGTATTTTGAAATGGCTTGCAGAAAGTGTATCTTTCTTTTTTAACTTTGCAACCAGTTCTTCAAATTTTGCAGCCCAAAATCCCTGTGTCAGATGCCAGAAGCTGAACTTCGTTCCCTATCACAGAGCAGTTTCAGACCGAGAAAAAAATGTACCTAAATTTCATCCACACAAGTGGCAGTTCTGTGACTTTCTCTACAGAATATACCAACACGTCTACAGCACATGTTTATCTTACCTTTTAAACACTGGAAGTGTTTAAACAGGGCTATCAGGTAAAATGTATCTCCGTTTATCAATGCCAAACAAAAACTTCCAAACATTTCAGAGTTAAAATGTTAAGATTCCTAAGAACTTCCCACACAGGCACAATAAAATACCACTACAGATCCTGCATGCGCTGGTTTTTTACACTTCCATGGATATTATCAAATGAGAAGGTTCTGCAGGAACAATGACTCAGTGCAAACCTTTCAGGCTGATCTCTGTCCCATAAACTATCCTAAGGAGAAAGTTCTAACACATTTTTAAGTTCTTTTAAGTTCTAACACATTTTTAGTAGGGTTGAGTAATACTCATTTGATGAGTTTCTGTAGAAATTAATCTGAACAAATTGTCGATTTTAAGAGAGAACAATAGCCTTCCACTGAATAGCTTCTCATAGATTAGACCCTCATGGACATCCCTTGTGAAAGCAATTGACCTTGTCCAAGCTAAACCTCTGGAATAAAGCCTTGTGCCATGCAAATCACAGAATTAAGTATGATAAACACTATCACAATAGAATTAAGAATGAAAATAATGATCTCCATCTGAGCTCTGCTTACTGGGCTTTTACACGTGGAATTAAAAAAGCAGAAGCAGAAAGATTAAATGGTGTTTCATTTAAACAAAAAGATCCTAAGCAATTTTGTGTCGCTATGTACACTGAGCTTCCCAACTGCATCACTACAACATTCTTACTTTACTCCAACTGATGAATGAATGAATCTCCCTTCTCCAGAATGTTAGGCCTGTTCTACGCTATCTTGCTGTTTTTCTATACTTTGTGCAGATACGCCGACAAGTCTGGCCCAAACCACATCGGCATGAAATTTTCTCCATCATTTAATCAGAGATGGGGGCAAAAACAACAACAACAATAACCCAGGGAAAGGATTGCTAAGCAGACAAGAGGTTCTCCAGGATCCAGCAAAACCCAGAAAAACCTTCAAAGTACACACTGCAATATGCACGGACTGATTTCCTGGACTGCAGCAACGGGTGATTCCACAAGGAAAAACACCTTTCATTCATACTTCATTGCTCCTTGAAAAACATACATGGTTCCAAGCAGAGACTCACAGCAGGATAGGATATTTGTTTCAGAGTACCTATAGACTTGATTTATCTAGTGCAAATGTTAAACAGTAAGGGGAATGGTAGCGTGAGAAATGTAAGCATGGCGTTCTCTCTCACCCACCTCTGGAAAGCAGCTCATATAAGATAAGTTTTATATGGTGTAAATTACTGCACAAAACTTAAGGCAGTAGAATCACACCCAGGCAATCTCTAGACGTAATTCCCTCCTTCTCACTTAATTCGAAGCAGCTGACAAGTAAATCCACTGCAGCCCAATGAGTTACATCAGAAAATGGTACAAGACAAGAATAAGACTGCGTGAATCATCTGGGAATATTTTGCCCTTCCATTGCTTTATCAAAGAGGTACACAATCTAAAATACAGCACTTAATGCTCTTTTAAGTATGGAAAACCCTTTTATATTCCTGGGGCAATAAGAAGAATCACACAATGCAAACAAGAAGCAATTTAGGCCCTTAACAAGACTATGACTCAGATGTTATCTATTAAAAAAAGTTTGTCACAAATACTTTGTGTGATCAATAATTTTATAACAGAATGTCTGGCAGATGGAAAAGTTCAAAACTTGTTTAATCAGCAACATGCCTGTCTCTCAGGGTTTATCTTCTCAGATATCAACATGGATTTGAGAAGGGTTACATTCGTTCAGTTACTCAGTTTAATGATCAACTCATTGGTCTGCCTCTTCTGAAATGAACAGGAATATATATAGATTAAATTCTTCAACCTAGAATCATCACACAGCTAAAACCGTTATTAGGAAAAGCCTTTCCATTCTGAATAACCAAAGAGTATCTGGAACAGAAAACATGAGAACTGTTCTAATCTTTGTATTCATTGCCCCGCTTGCTATTTCAGCTAGAGCTGAGAAGGACTATTCTTCCTTTGATTCTGCTGCACCTCCTGAGACAAAATCAAGATTTGCCATGTTAGATGATGTACGAATCTTAGCCAATGGACTCCTCCAGCTTGGGCATGGTCTTAAAGACTTTGTCCACAAGACAAAGGGGCAAATGAATGACATCTTTCAAAAACTTAACATTTTTGATAAGTCCTTTTACGAGCTCTCACTGCAAACCAGTGAAATCAAAGAAGAAGAAGAACAGCTCAGACAAACTACTGCCAGATTGCAAATCAATAATGAAGAGATAAAGAATCTCTCTCAGGAGATGAATTCAAAGATTGAACACCTCATACAAAACAAAATCCAGCTGCAAGAGAAAGTATGGGGTCTAGAAGATAAAGTCACTAAATTGGCCATTATTCAGCCTACAAAGCAAGAGACAAACGAAATTTCTTCACTCAAAGTAAGTAGACTTGTGAAAGTGCCTGAAATGCAAAGCCAAAGTAAACTGTAATGCTATTTTCAGTATTTCTGCAGTAGGGGAGCGCATGTTTTTCCTGCACCTTCACTGTTGTACTACTGTAGTGTATCTTCAGCAGTAAATCAATGCAATAATCTTAAAAGAATCAGTGTGTCTTCTTCTGACATGCTGTTTATTATACAGTAAAATTCCCCAGTGAAATCAGTGCAAAGAAGGTGAAATGATAAGGCTCTATACTTTTTTCAGTGATTTTTTGCAAATCAGTTTTAAGAAATTCTGTAAGCATAATGACTCCAAGTTTTGCAATCAGGAAAATAATGTGATTACCAAGCCTATAGCTTAGTACTTCATCAGCTCATTGCAAAACAATACACTAAGAACTCTCTGCGCAAGATAAAATAGGAAGTTTAAACCATTAAGCTTTAAAGAAGGATATCTGTAGTACCTATGTGACCTCCAGGACCAAAGAATCTTGTGACTGTCAATAGACTTAACCTGAATACATGCAAGTATGCAGGTGGGTATAATGTTTTCTACCAAAAAAAGAAAGGAAATATTAACTCTACTTTGCAGAAGCATAAAATGGCTAAGCAATTTGTCTGAGATAAATACTGGATATTCAAGTCAGAGCAGAAAGCTGAATCCAGATCTTCCAAATCTCAAGCTAATATCCTAAACACTGGGTATCGTTCCTTTTTGGGGGTCAGTGGCATGTATTTGGTCAGAATCAAGAGCCAACTTCAAAGATTGTAATTGTTCTGAATATAAAAACGAAAGGGAAATAACACACACACACAAAAACCTATGATGCTGCAGGCAGTTTTTCTCAAGGAAATCTGAGTGTTCACTTCAGAGGCAAAGACATCCGCCCCTTTAGAGGAAGAGCAGGCAATCCTAAGGCAAATGAAAGGTAATGTTAAGTGGTGTGTGCCTCTCAAAACTGACCCTGTAGAGTTAGTGAGGCAGGGTCCCTGAAGGCCTCACGCTGCTTCGAAACACAACCTTCCTCCCTCCTTCCCCTGTCCTCAGGCTTTTGTGGAGCAGCAGGACAACCACATTAAGCAACTTCTTAAAATTGTAGAGGATCAGCATGCGCAACTCGACAGACAGCACAATCAAATAATGGAGCTGGAGGATAAGGTACTGTAACTGACTACGTTTCTCTTTTCAGAATCTGTTGTCTCTCACAACACAGGAGGAGCTAATGGCTCAGGCACCAGGTACCTTTTTGGGTGTGAGAGACAGCTGTGCTGCCATGTAGGAAGCTATGGTCAGGGCATAGAATGACTAAGACCACAGCTTTGAACTACTGCCTACCAACACCAGGCAGCTGTATTTTCTGATTGCTAATTTTCTTTCTTTTTCCTCTGATTAGCTATCATATTACTGTTCTTCTATTGGTCTGCTAAGTATCATTATTTTCTGTGTCTTTCTTCTTTCTCTTTTCTATCTCTTTCTTCTTTTTCAATATTCACTCCAATAGGGAATCGTCTTCTGCTAACACGTATAACCATAACTCTGGGTATTATTGACATGATCCTTTCTAATTTTATTCCTAAGAGGAGGTTATGAAAGGAAGAGGCCTTCCACCTTAAGGAATCATAGTTCTGTGTTCTTTAGATGTCAATACTACTTGTCTCAGTGATGTCACCTGAGGAAGTAAGTTAGCTCTCTTTGCCCATTAAGGTGTACCTCATATGAACTGGTCCTTCACTCACCTCATGAAACCTATGTTGTTTGAGCAGTGAAACAGTTAACATAAGGGTAACTGCAACCTACCAGAACAGTCCTAACTGTTCTTATATCGTTAACTGGTTATCTTAAAGGATGAAATGCATAAGAAAAGTTATTCTCCACAATGTATTGTTCAATTTGATGTATGAATCTCATAATTTCAGAGCCGTGGGAAATTAACAGTATGTAATTGTGGTTCTTTTCAGTTAAACCACATAGAGCTCCAGGAGATCACCGAGAATTCCTTTATTGTGGAGCAAACAGAACGAGAGGTCGTCCCCTTCCTTGTGCACAATTCAACCGCTGTAATGTACAAAGTTGACGGTGAGATCATATGCCTCAATTTTGACTACACAGCACATTGTTTTTGCAGTATTCTGTGTGAAAGTTTTGTGTTGGCTTATATATAGTCAAAGACCAAAAGAAAAAGACTCTTATTTTATATACAGCATTGTGGAAAGGAGCTAGATTTCCTGCTTTGGAAACAGTCATCCTCTATATAGCTCGACTGCCAACATATACTTGTCTCTGGTTTGGCATACAGGAACAATGTCCAGCAATGAAATAAATGTGTCCTCAATCTTCAACCTCCATTCATTAATTGTGAACAGGTGCCACGGCAATCCTTTTGCTGCCACTGCTGGCGTTGCTGATGCCTGTCTTGGCCTGCCTCAGCAAGCACAGAGAACATACTTACTTCACATAGGCCAATTACAGAATTTGGAAGTTTTTTTTGTTCGTTTTTTTGTTTGTTTTTTTAAGTGACATTTCTCAACTGCAGTAATGGGAACAACATTTATTGGGAACTTTATGAGAGATGCAAAAATCTATTTGCCAGAGCCCAGTCCTAGGCCTTACAAGTTTTCCAAAATTATCTAATTCAAACCCTGCCTGCCTAACTTAAAAAATATGGGTGGTCCAACCATCCAACCCCAGCTCCTCACAGTACTACCAAGCCCGCAGGAGCCAAGGAGTTTGTCAATTTAATGACATTTATTGTAAAATAAAACGATGACCAGAAAAACTGCTCTAGTGGGTTTTTTGTTTTTTTTTTGTTTTTTTACAGAAATTCAAGTTACAAAGCTGGATTAAAACTTACCACCTCCAAAACAGGATTTGTAATTGTCTGATGTTTACTTTCCTAGGTGCCGCTCCTGATTGCACTGCTCTCTATAACAGCGGCATACGGTCCAGTGGTATTTACACTATTAAGCCCAATGGCTCAGAAGCTTTCGATGTCTACTGCGAAATGAAATTTGGTAAGGCAGTTGTGCTAGCAATGCTCTAATTTCACATAAACAGTTTCCTATAAACCAAAAAACTGTGTCCCATCCCAAAGCACTCAAAAACTTAGCATGGCTTATGGATCCTCTTGACTTCTATTATTGCTCTGCCTATGCTCTAAACTTCCCTATCGTCTAAAGTCTCCATAACACGGCTTTTATAATGTCCACACCTCTTCTTTATACTGAGGAAAGGACTTTCACTCCTGTGAAACAAATTAAGTATATTAAAAAACCAGGCACCTTTAGGTACAGAGAGTGAAAACAGCAATTATAAATGCCACTATCCTATAACCATGAAGTAACTTTTCTGAATCAAAGCAAATAGTAAATAGCAAACACCTTAGTAAAATTTTGTTCAGATAACATGGATTATTGCTTGAGACTTAGATATACCAAGCTAACCCAAAAAGGTGAGTCTTGGAGACAGGATTCCTCGTAACATATCTGCAGCTCTGTCAAATTTGGGTGAGTTGGTAATTAGTTATCATATGAGTCCAGAATTGTCACAGACTAGCTGATACAGACCAGAAAACACAGCAACTACCTATGTTATATCTTTGTAAGAAACCCATTTGGCTATTTCCTTTGACATTGCCTGGTGAGCACAGTCTGGCCAGCTTGTTGTTCCCCAGTTTTTTCACTGGGCTGTACAGACGCCTAGAGTGCTGTTCTCCGTGCGTCCTCTCCGCCTGCCCTTTCCTGTCCCTTTGCCACAGCTACCCAGAGAGTCGAAGAACACCCTGACGCAAACGTGGCAGGGCAACATGATCCAGTTGGATGCATAAACATAACTGGCATGAGGTTGCCCTCTGCAAAAAGCTCCCTTGGTTACATTTGTTGAAACTGGTTAAACAAGGGTGTCATGACCTGGTCAGAAGAAAGATCCCACTGCAGTCAAGTCCAACATTTTATACCAAGTTTGCAGTTGCATTCCCAGCAATCAAGCACTAACAGTATTGAGAGCCTGATAAACTTGATGTCTGGATCATTTAATTTTTCTTTTTAGCACTTTCCCTTGAAGCCACCTACAATGCAAACCCATTTTCTTCTTCATTGCAATAGACAGTGAACACATATAAGGGCAGGCACAAACTGTGCAGACTAACTTAGCAGGTAGATGAACTCGGTTATGTTCCATCTTGTCTCTGGTAGTTTCAACACTGAAGCCAGGTTTGTGACTTATCTCCCCTTTGCGTTCACAGGCAGTTCTTGGACTGTAATTCAGAACAGAGTGGATGGATCACTAGATTTCAACCAAACCTGGGACACCTACGAACATGGTTTTGGTGATCTCAATGGTAAGACTCCTTTTTTGCTTCTTTACTTTGTATTAGTTACCTTCAGAAGCGGAATCTTCCTAATTAAAGGTGTTCACATAAGAGCAAACAAAACCTGCAATCAGATCTGGATACCTTACCCAATTAGTGGAAGGCGAGAAAGTGCTTATCAGAAAACATAACTCAGTAAAATTTTCAAACACACACCTTTAGATTTGTGTTTAGAAGCTTTGCTAAACCACAGCCAAAATGTTTTAAAGGCTATTTTAATTATGGAGATTTCAGCGATTATAATAGAATACCTCCCAAAAAGCCTTTAAGGTATAATCATAGATGCAAAACCTCACCAAAATACTATTACTACTTTCTCTCAAGCTTCCTGACAAATCTCAAGACAGCCTGAGGCTGAGTGTGCTCCCTTACGCAAACACCTCCTGCTTCCCAGTGCGTGCACGACCAATCGCCTCACCTAGCCAGATAGGGTGAGGAAACACCCACGTTTGCCTGTTAATCATCAACTCCAAAGAATTTTTAGCACCAGGTGCTGGCCAACAGCCTCCCCATCCAGAGCATTTTCCCCATTTTTCTCTTCACAATGGTATGGTTCTACTTCTGTTTAGAAAATGTGTTGTCTTTCTGGGCACAGCATAGATTAAAACTTCACCAATTTGGGCAGCTTAATTTACTACTTTCACCTCTTTTACAATAAAGAGCTGCTGTATCTCAATCTTTCCCCCATTTTGGCACAGTAGCTCCTAACTGAGCTAGACTTTTATCCAGGCAGCTTGTTCATAACAATAATGCTACAATTGCCCCTCGTCTGGTCTCCAGTTTCCCTAAGCTAAACCAACGTGACACCACGCTTCTTCAGCATCAGAAAGATTTCACAAGAGGATCGTATTATTCAGAGGTGTTATTCCCTAGGTACTGCACAGTCCTGTGCTGCACAGTCTAATGTGATAAAATATAACAAGCCACTGCTCCTGATCTGTATACTGCAGGGGTATTTTACTCAACCATCTTGTCTTCTATGGCTTTAAATGCCACCTGGATGTATGGCATTCACATCCAACTATACTATTTCTACATGAGGTAATTATCTACCATGCACTGACATCAGTGGCAAAGATAACAAGCTACTTAATGAATGAACTCTAGGAAACAATGAAACTAACCATCAGGAATTCTAACAAAAGAAAAATGGTAAAGTTAAATTCACTTTGAACACAAGAGTACCAAAACCTCAGTTTTGTTTTGCAGTTCCTTCCTTAAAAAATAAAACAATTACAATTAGGTTTTATATATGTCATTTGCTTCATTTGCCACACAGTTCCAATTACGCATGTTTAAAATGTCTTGAGCTCCCTCTTTCACAAAAGGTGGGAAAGGTAAGAGAAGCTCCAGTTCATTGGTATTTCTAGCTTTTATTGATCACTTGTGTGCAATTAAAAAGAGGTAAACAAAAAGAATGTATCAGGAGACCTCTGAAAAGATCAACAGTCCCCAAGACTCATATTATTGATTTAATTAAAGCAATTAATAATCCCCTTTAAGTACTATATTTTCAGATGTTTGTGTTCACATGCAGGTTATCTGTAAAAACCAACTTCAATAGCAGTGTGAGCTACGTAAGTTTTTAGGAAGTTTATCACATAGCTCCTTCCCCCACTAACCAACCCTCTGCCTTAGATTCTCCACTGAGGACTTCTGTCTCCAAAACTTCACCTCTGATCTCTCTTGATTCTGACAGCATGCAGCTTATTTGAACACATGCTTTCAAATATTGGTATTTTAAAGGTGAATGAGCTGTGGTATGCGTTGGATATGCAAAAAGTGTGGTAAGCATGTTCAGACTCAGTTCCACATTAATTGCATTTATTTACTATGACTTTGCAGAAGAGTTCTGGCTAGGTCTGAATAAGACCTATTCCATTACTAAACAAGGGGACTACATTTTACGGATTGAGCTGCAGGACTGGAAAGACAATAAACGATACATTGAGTATGCATTCAGCTTGGGAAGCCCCGAAAAGGACTACACCCTCCAGCTTTCACGGATCTCCGGGAACATCCCCAACGCACTGCCTGAACAGACAGAACTGAGGTTCTCGACTATGGACCGTAACATGGACATAGCAAAAGACTTCAACTGTCCAGAAAACTATCTAGGTACCAGTATGCTGGGTACATTAAAATGGTAGTTTCTTTGTTATATGTAGTATTATGCTCTAGTGAGGAGTGACTTATATAAGTCTGACTTTAGAAATGGAAAAGAGAGAACAGCAGCATGTTTCTCCTTGAAAAAGAAGACACAAAATGTTTTTGGCAGAGTTTTTTTTGGCAGATAGAGAGTCCTAAACTGATGAAGCATCATCATTCTATTTTATAGATGGGTAAAACTAAAGCATAGTGAGACTGTGCTAGAAGACTAACATTAGAAATAGAATGAAATACAATTCCATGATGAAATCCTAAGCTATAAATTTCTTTCTTTGAGGCTTGCTCTGGCATGGGAATCCTGGGTCAGAGAGTGTAATCCTTCCTTGGGGAAAAAAAAATAAAGAGAAAGAGAGGAAGGGAGAGAGAGAGAGTGAGTGTGTATGAGTGTGAACTGACTGTTGAATCCATTTTGACCATAAAGCAGAAGTTAAGGATAATGGTAAGTCTGATGGTGAGTTTCCCCTGAAAGGCAGATATTAGCTGTTTGTCAAGTATGTACGCTATAATCATTCTCAAACCAATAGCACAGATGTGAGGCTGAAGTCATATTTCTCCTTAAAGATAATTTGTTTAAGAGATGCCTAATCTATTTGATTTTATGAAGCTTTTACGTTTTTCCAGTTTATAGCAAAAAGCAACCAACCCAAAAAGCAACTAATAATTGAGCCACAGGATATAGAACTGCCCCTCCAGCACCTGTTTCATGCAACAAACATTTTGTGGATGCCATTCTAGGCTTTAACATTATTAACATCTGAATCAATGTTGAGAGTTACTCAGCTCTAGTGACCATATAGCAGGTGGCCAATGAATTTCAAAGTGATAAACTTCTGTTTTTAACATAGAGACTCTGCCAGTCCTTTGCCAGCAGAACTGGGGTTACAATTTAATCTAATGATTAGGGAAATCAGCCAGTAAAAAAGATAATTTGTTTACTAAAGGCTGTCAGCCAGTGTTCTTCATCCTCCTGCAGATGCAGGGATTCAAGAGAACTCTTTGCTCTTGGGAAAAATACCACAAATCAGAAAGCCAGTTGCAGAAGGTCACAGGAAATACAAAAGGGCTGAGTTAACTTCCTAAGTGTCTCGGCTCAGTGGCAGGCTTTGTGTGTGCAGTGCTGTATGCACTGCTGCTTTTGGGCCAGCAGCTATTGTCTGCTTCACTACCTTTGTATGGGCGCTCAAGTTGCAAGTGCAAGTGGGTTTATGCATAAGCAACATTTCATTTGGGTATGCTGAGTAAATGCCACATACAACGGAAAGATTTTTGCTGGAGCTGGCCTACAGATGACTTATTTTGCAAACGCAAGCTTTCTGGTCAGAAACTGAGCACAATCTTTCAGGGTACAACTGACATTAAGTGACACTGCAATATTTTTCTTTAGGAGGCTGGTGGCACAGTGAATGTGAGGAAACAAATCTCAATGGGAAATACGTCACACCAAGGTCAAGAGGAAGACTAGACAGAAGAAAAGGCTTATACTGGAAGCCTAAGAAAGGAAGATACTATTTACTCAAGTCAACCAAAATAATGATCCACCCAACAGATTTAAAAAGTTTTGATTGAATGCTCAACTTGATGTATTTTAATTCAGAACATATACACTGAACATTAAATATAACATGAACTTTTTGATGTAAGAATAACAGGTGCATGTCTAAATCCATGCACACTGTATGTATGGTGTGCTCTCCAATGACATAAACCCTGAGGCATTTGCAGTCTTCTTGCAGTACATTTGGTGAGTATTCTCATTACCTCTACCCCAAATATCAAATTGCTGTTAAGTGTAGCTTTTACCTCCCTGGGATCAAACTCTAATGCCTAGAAATCAGATAGTTTTTCATATATTACATAATATTGCTTGGGGAAAAGTATTTTCAATGTCAAAATGCTATAGAAAACATTAAGGTATTCATCTGCAGGAAGAAAGAATTTCGTTTTGTAAAGTAACTAATTTGATGTTTGGTTCAGGTTATTGCTGTGGGATGTTTCTATGAGCAAACGAAAAATGTTAATTCCCCATTTTACAATTCTGTGTATTTCTAGCAGTGTAGGTCTAATCTTTTAGATATCATGCTCTGAAGAATAACTTAAAAACTAAGATTACTTACTGAAACTTAAGAACCAAGCTCCAAAGCTTACTGAAATAAATAAGAGATCTTTTCTATTCATTTCAAGGGGATTCAGAGCCATCCCTTTGCTGCCTTTTATTAAACCTCACTGAGGAATTAAACAAAAGACCAAGTGGGCACACAACAAATTGCCTTTCAAATAGAGAATTGAGGTTGAGTTACCTGCACTTCTGAGGCAACTCCAATGGATTGAGTGGTACCATTCAACCTCTCCTGTATGAAAAGGCTATACGACAGTGTTAGTCTTGCTCCTAAGAACATTTACACATTTGTTTAACTTTATTCAGCTGCAGAATCCTGCAAGATAGTAGGACTGCTGACATATTTGTGGATGGCCAGCTGTGGAAGTTTTTACTGACAAAGACCCTAATTCTGCAGTTATATTGAGTCACATTGACTTATATCATCTTATCTAAACCTTGTATAGCGTGGATTTTGTATCTCAACATTTGTAACCATATAGAAAAGGTTTTTAAATTGTAATGTGTCAGAGTGAAACAAGTGTAAATAGACTGTGCTAATTACAGAGAAATTGCACAAGTACTTTACTTCTCATGGATTTATTGCAAAGAAGAGATCACATAGCGCTGCTTATTGTACTGGTGTACTGTAACCTTTGATTACCTGTCTAACATCTACCAAAAAAAAAACCACACACACACCAATAAACTACACTTCTCAAAAGACATGGGATATGGAACTTGAGTAAAGTGTCTTGTAAGATTTGGTTTCTAAAAACATGGTTTGTATTTATCTAACTTGTACAATAAAAAGTAGCATTTTTGATAAGTCAGCGAAACTACTCAACACAGGAAGACAGTTCCTCTCAGACATGTATTGTCTTGAAAGATACTGTGAAAAAGTTTTAAATAAGTAGAGGAAAATAAAGAAAAGAAATCTGCTCCCTGCCTGGTCTTAGTTAAAAAAAAAAAGTTATTGTCTTTTGAAATATTTTAAAATAATATTTGTATCTTCCAGATCCTCAGAGCATTTTTTTTAATGCACTGTAAACTAAGAAATTGCATTTAAATCAAAACAGAAATATGAATGAAGGGATTATGTGTTTTCTGTGCTTTTTATTCCCTACTGGAAAGAAAATAGTTAAGTCAGTGAAAGTGTCGGAAAGTAGTAAAACTGGCAAGTGAAATCACAGAGCTTCGGTATTTCAGCTATGATGAACTATCCTAGTGAATACAGGCAAACCACACAGCTCTAACTGAGATGGGTAAAACCAATACCTCAGAGGGCGTACCCAGAACAGCAGTAGATTGGCTTTCTTTAATTTGTTATTTTGTTTCTGGCCAATAAAATATTCCCCCAAGAGCCCTGTATTTCCCCTTTAGAGTCCAAAACTTCCAAGATTTTCTACAGTGAGCCAGATGTAATTGTCTGGAGCCTCTGGCTCCAGAACTTACCTCCCTTCAGCCAAACCAGTCACTCTTGCCAGAAGAGAGAGAAACTGAACTGAAATGGCCTGAAATGACCTCTTTATTCCCCAAACCCTCCACTCCAACATAAATCCAGATCCAGGGTTTTTTCAATACGACTTCATACTGAGTCTATATGGGAAGAATGATGACTTCATCATATAGACAAAGAAAAAACTTCTACATAAAACTGGAAAGAATGCAACTAAATTTCACCTTGAAATTCAGGAAATGAAGAAACCTCCCTCACGCGTTCCTGTTCACAGCCAAGCTTTATGCAAATATGTTCTTCCCTCCGTATCTGTGTATTTTTGCTATGTCAGTCTAGACCTTTTTTGTGTCTCTGGCACAGCAGATCTACTGATGCAGCAAGTTTTGCAACAAACCAGATGATAAGGTAGGAATCTCTAGCTGCCAATCTTGAGCACTAAAATGTGAAATGTACTTCAAAACTCTAACCTGTACGTGGTATTCGGAATGTAGACATCCCTGGCAGGAAACTCCAGGATTTCTCTTGTAGGTCTAACTCTGCTGTCTGGGTAAAGTTTGACTTGAAGCAACTCTGGAGTTAGACAGTAATGGGGATTCTCTGGAGCTGGAGATATGTCTATCTTTAGTTGAGCTGTAAGAAGCAAATGGTTTTATTACAGTAAACAGATGATAAATATAAATCAATAAGCATCAAGAAGCCAATCATACACATATAAAAAGGCAATAGTTGGCATGGATTAGTTCTGTAGGAAAGGGCTGGGGACAACAGTGATGACAAGCCAATGTTCAGAAGAGAGCCACAACTGTTCTTGAATATATTAATAAACAAGGTCTTAGAAGGAGAATCATATCCAGTTTAGAGCACCATGCTTGAAGAAAAACAAGGACAAGATAGGAGAACTCCAGTAAAGAGTAACAAAACCACAAGCAGTTTAAAAATCACAACTCTGAGGAAGGGCTGAAAAAACTGAGGTTGGTTACTCTAAAAAGCAGAGGTGAGTAAGAAAGAATTAATAACAGTTTTCAAACATTTGAAAGGTTGCAATAACTTCCCTGAGGGCATGACAGACCATAATCAGATTAATTTGCAGCAAGATAATTTTGGAAAGTTTTCTTAATACCTAACCTCACTACCAGGACAGCTGACAGCTGGGAGAGAGGATCTAAGGAAGCTGTAGATTTGCTGTCATTGGAGATTTTTAAGAACAGGTTATGTAAATATTGTCAGAATAGCAGAGGTCAGGGACTGGTGATGTTTCAATGCCGGCATGCCAGTTGTATTTTTCTTTCTCAAACAAAGGTGTAGCCTGGTCCTACTAACCAAGTGGGAGCCAGGAGAAAGACCTCCTCTCAGCAGGGAGGTGATGCTTTATTCACTGAACAGAGGCTCCTCAGCCCCTGCTGGATTTAGGCCTTCAGGGTCTGCATCCTCTTCTCTCATGGATGCTGCTCCCAATTTGACGGGAGCTGCATGTGTGCGCATGCCAGTTAAAACCTGCCAAAATGCCATCTTTCATGCTTGTGGTCTAGCAGAGGTTGCTCTTGATGACTTCTTAGGGTTATTTTCTGCTGTCCCTAAGAACTGGGTGGGAATTGGGAAGGACTAACAAACACCCTTCACACATGCAAACCAAAAACATCTCATTCAATACCTGTAATAGGCCTCAGTCTCCGTAACACTGATGATGGCCTTCTCATATCTGCAAGAAACTTGTACAAATCTTCATCACTCAGGCGATCACCCTCCTGTTGATTGTTGAGGAAAAATGATTAAGTACACTACCCTTCAGGAGAGTGAGACTATGAATAAACCATCTAATACTACATTCTCTTTTCTCTGACATCAAAATGTACCTTCCCAGAACAAGAAGGTGCTAACATTAACATGTTAAATTACAGTTAATTTCTCCATCCTTTTTCCTTTCTTTTTTCCTTATAAATCATGATGACACCTGTAGGAACTTTTCATTGAAAAGCTTTTTTCTCTCCATCAATATTATCTTTTTCAAATCTGAGAATAGTTGTTAAAAGATTTCCCCCAAATATCCAATTTTCAGTAAGTGTAACAGTTTGAAAAAAAAAATCTGTCATTCAGATGGTGATTCCTCCTTCCTTCTCCCCTGTCTTTTCTTTGGCATGAGTATAAAAGATTTTTGCTTTTTAGGTGGAGTGCTAAGAAAAGCTGAGAACTGGAAGGAGTTTGTGTTGCCAGTTTTCCTTATGCCACTTTCTAACAGCTCAGAGCTTCCTTAATTTTAATCTTGGAAACATTATAGAAAATGTTACTCTGCCACCTTCTAACTGTCCAAAAGCAGAAGATATCTGGTAAAAAAGGTAAAAAACAAAACAAAACAAAACCGCACAGTATGAAAAAAGAAGCAAACGGAAAGAAAAAACCTGGACAGGATCCAGTTAATTTTATTCAGTGAGAGAAATCACTAAAAACAGAGCTTATCCAGCTTTCAATATAAAGAAACCAAATCCTCATATTCCTAATGATCAAAAGTTGGTCCAAAAATATCAACAGTCTTGTTGTGTACTATTAAATCCCTGTTATATACAAAGGTGACATTCAAATAACAATTCTTCCTTAACCAGATGTGGCATTAAGCAAACCTTGGCAAACATAAATGAACTGAAATCATTTTGTAAACTTACAGTACCTGTTTAAAGAAGTTTGTCACTGTCAGAGTAGCTGGTCTGAAACTGGTCAAATTGCACGCTTCATCCCCACTAGTGGTTCTTTCTAATGAACGCCTCCCGACAATACTGGAATTCCGTCTCTCTGACCAAGATCCTTTACGTTCTTAAAAAAAAAAAAGGGGGGGGGAAGTAAAAAAGGAAAGAAAAACAATTGTCCAAGAGCCTACATTTGCTCCAGGCAAGATTTTTTACACAAGAAGGTAACTGCTGCATTTGCAAATTATGCAATAAGCGTGATAGAAGAGGTGGTTATGCTAAGACAATCACACTCCTGAGGCATCAGGAAGCTATGAAGCACAGCTGACTACTTCTGCTCCTCTCATAGCAACCTCACCCCAGTGCCTTACTGCTATTATAAAAGTCTTTATTGTGTGGAGATTTATGTATTTCTCTTGCTCTGAAAGATGATGAAGTTGGCAGTTTTGGGGATGCTGAAGAGCAGTTTCAGTTGAGCTGTGTGGTTCACAAAGATTAATCCACTCCTTTGGAAAAATGTTCATCAGCCTGTAACACACTCTCAGTCTTTGCAGCTTGGTTTTAAATAATATAACAGATGGTTTGCTTGTAAAATCCTTGAAAGATAAATCCATTTGTTATTATGGACTTTTCTGTTTTATTTCAACCATGACCCAAGACTATCGGAAGGCCTAGGGCAGGGGGGAAAAAGCAATAAAAGGAGTAATGGCAGATATAGGGCATGAAAGGCTCCTACAGACTTCAGCAGACCCTGGATTGGGTACACATTCCCTTACGCAGATGCCAGATACCATACCTCCTGTGCCAACTTCTACTTCTGTGGAATCTCTTTCCAGACTTCCAGCGCTGCTCACAATGTTCATTAAATGAATGGCTGTCCAGGCAAAAGGCATTCGATACTTGCCTAGTCTTTGGCAAAACTGTTCTGCCTGGCATTTCAGTTTTTCCAACTTCTCCTTATTCTGTAAACAAAAGGTTAAACACAGCATATTTAAACAAGAGGAACAGAAATAAAAGCTTCCTCTCCTCGAAACCATGTGGATACTTTGCATGCACTGACTAATAATAGCATCTTTTCTAACTTATGACCTCATAACAATGACTGCGTTTCAACAGCACCTTCTAGAGGAGAATTCCCAAGTGTTAGGCAAACAGACTTCAGCTTCACAAAACTGCCATCAGGCTGATAAGTACCAGATGTAGAATAACCTGACAGTCAAAGCAGCTGACTTCATGCTTTTAAGCTTCCTGGAAGAGTCTGCTAAATCCCAGTGAGTTCATCTGACCCCACCGCCCTTTCAAGAAAATTTGCATAACCCTTCATGAAGTCTGAAATGGCCTTTCTTACTGTCATTTCAGACCACTGGAGCACCTGCTGCATGGAGTTGTATGGGAAGCAGAAAACACTCCTCAGATAAACAGTACCAAACTCATTTTATCAAGAAAAAAGGGATAGGAAGGGACTTATGCCTGGTTCAGTGTTTTAAATAGCAAGGTTTTGTTTCAGAAAGGTCCCTACGTACACACCAAGCCCTTAGAAGTCCATACAGAGGGCCTTAAAAAGCAACAGAGAGAACTCTGTTGCTCACATTCTTCTAGTTCAGAATATGCTTACACACCACGCTGGGAAGGAAACTTTGCATAATCACCTCTTCACCTACATTCCCAAGCGTCCTGCAAAGCCAATCCCAAAATTTCATCTAGGCTCACTGTCACCTTACCTATCACAGGAAATGCAGTTCTGCATTTCTGTTATCTAAATGCCTCAAGTGAAAGATATCCATTTTTCGTACTGGAATACAGTGTATTGTGGTGCACTGATACAGGGACAGAGATAGAAAAAGAACATTAACTTATACAGATAAAACTACAGTAGAACTTAGGAAGGCAGAAGTTGGATACAGCTTGACTGGAATTAACAAATGAACATCCCAGCCCCTTTGAAAAAAGCATATTGAAAAGCCTGCTTATCAGAAAAAGGGTGGACATCTCTGTTTTGCACTGCATCGAGACCTCACTATTACCTTTCAATTTTCACTCATCCCAACGGTGCAGGAATTTAGGAATGATTTCCAAAGCTCATAAACACTGTTTTGCACTCTACATACCCAAGATTTCCTTTGTAAGCCAATCTCTCCACATCTTATAAACCAAAGTTGTATAAGAACATATTGAGCTCAATTAGATATTTCTCCTTCCGAGTGATAATTAATAATAAAATTGGAGATTTGCTATTCTATAACCACTGCTGATATGGAGAAAGCACTTCAGAAAAACAAATAGTAGCCTGTGGAAGAAAACATCAAGGAAAGGCCACAGTATAGGTACCCAAACTTATGATTCCCCTCCAGACTCTGATAGTCTTCAACTACCAGCCAGCCCCCAACTGCAGGGGATGCAGGGAAAAGGAAAGCATTCTGTGCAGCAAAACCTCTGCTTTTAGTCCTCAGCAAGGGCTTTAATAGCAAGAAGATCGGCTGCATTTAAACATGTGAGGGAAAGACAAAGGTTCAGTCAAACTGGGGGAGGTCCATACCATCCACTGCTCTGTAGAGCTCAATGCCCAAACTATTGAAAGTCAAGAACTAAAGGGATATGGTTAATTAAAAAACAAACCACTGATGTGTACAATTTTAAATGTACCTTTGCTACATAAAACAAGAGTTAAAGGATCCTCTGCTCAATGGGCTGTTTTGCACATGTTACCAAGTGATATGATTAAGGATAGCTTTTTCCTGCTGTTGAGTATGGTCCTTCTTTATAAAATTAGGAAGAAGAAAAAAACAGAGAAAATAGTAGAAAAAAAGAACTGGAAATGCACCACACTTCACAATTAGACCTGATGGACACTCTCCTGTTAAGGCATTTCATCTGTTTTACAACCCTTCTAGAACGTGACAGGGGCACTGTGACAGACTTAAGCTGCAGATGCAACGGACAAGCTGAAATTTTACTGCAAATATACATCAAAGGCTGCTTTGACTTGACCCAGCTGTAAGTGCACAGCCGATCCTCTAGGACAGGGAATTCCAGATGACTGAGCTTGATGCTAACCACACATCTCCCTTGGCAGCTACAAAAACTGATGACCTTTAACTACTCCACCCTAACAAGGCATCAAGTTTGAAGCGTCTTTGACTCTTCTTAGGCCTTTAGAATTTGACTAGATTCTTGAGTTTAAAATGGACCATTTTAACAGGAACAATATCAATGGTGGCAAAGTGCAAAGTGAAAGAAAATAACATCAATGTGTATAATTTGTCAACGACAAAATGCCTCAGAGCGCTCATAGATTTAATCAGAACATCTACAAATTCTTACCTTTGCTGCATCAGATTCTTTAAAAATCATGTAAGGCTCTGCGCACTCCCCAATATCTCCCTGCTGTAATACTTTTTCTAGCTGAGAAGGGAAAATGAACCATTATGAGGAAACGTAACTAGCAGAGATGGTTAAATTAAATAAACACTAGGCAGCAACAACCTTCTTCCAAAAGACCTGAAGCTTGCTGTTCCTTTGTTAAGTCAGAGAACAAGCACTACATTCAAGTTGTTAGAGGCAGCAAGTTCCCAAATCTTCAGCTATAACTGAATCACAAGTGTAAAATACAGGTGCAAAGGGAACGTATACCACTTCACTTTGGTGTGTTATGTTCTAGAGCCACTTTTGGCACATGTTTAAGGGCTTAAAGACAGCTTACGCTAACTGTCTTCAGCAGCATCATTTTCAGAATTCTGTTCTGATTCCTGTTCTGTACTGACTACTGTGTACTCACTCAGCTGGGTTCAGCAAAAGCAAACACTATTTTAAAACAGTCTATTTTCAAATCAAATAATGGAAATTTATTTTAAAAAATTAATAGCTGAACAGTAGATGCTTGCTACCAAAGTCTCAGTGTAAGTCAATAAACTGCTGAACACAGCTTTTGACAGAAATGCCCTCCCTATCGCATACGTAAAACCTGTTTTCTTCATTTTAAATTATCCAGTTGGTTAAACTGAATAACTGATAAATTAACCAGATACTAAACAACCAGGAAACCTCACTTTTATGCAAAGATTGAAATAGAAAATTAAACTAACAAGGAGTAACAGCAGCTAGTTTTAAAATCCTGGACAGCATGCAGATAAGAGTTAATCCAGTCAATTCATTAACTGCAAACACAAGCTGCTAACAAATCAGCTAATTTGCAGACCAAAATTCAATCTGAAAGCTTTCATTTTATGTATCAGTACAATTTGAAAACTCTTATATAACCAACATTTAAAATGTGCACAAGTAACTTCAATCCAATTTGACAAAGGCAAAAAGGAAATGTAGTAAATACGCAGTATTTAGTAAACAAGAAGTGTGTTCTGTTGCATTTGCTAACATGAAATTTTAAAATTAAGAATTTATATTTAAAATACATATTCACAGCATAATATATGTAGGTGTAGTATAACATGCTTGCAAGCAAACAGAATTCATTTCATTGTAGCAGGTTATTAGTTGTAACACTTTGTAACAATTATCAACATTATTCAGCTTACTTTAGGCCGACAACTAATGTACAAATAGTAAACAACATTAAAATCTAAATCATGTTGATTCAAAACAGAAGTAACTCAAACTTCTCCTCTTATTTTTATATCGTGCCTAAAATTAGTGACTGAATTTCTTTTAAACATCACTCTAAGTTGGTGCTGTACCATTACAAAGGAAAATCCCTACCAAAGAGCTTAAAGTCTAAAAAAGGAGTGATATAGAGCACAAGAACAAAGTTACAGTTATATGCCAACAAAAAAAGTGAAAACACAACTAAGGGAGGAAAACTTAATTACTCTGTATTACCAAAAATTGCTGGTGCATCACCTACTTAGACCAGACTTAGAATACTTTTTCCGCACAGTATGTTTTGGTAAGGAACTCATGCGTTACTTCTAAAGGCCAATTAAGCATTTCCAATAATATCTGTTCTTGAAAATCTGACTCACAGCGAACATTTAGGCATCTAAATATGCAGATAGATGCCTGCAGTCTCTTCATTAGTTATGGATCTCACCCACTTAGCATTTTTAATTCTTGAAGGCATTCGAAAATCTGGCTTAAGCGTGTAAACCATTTTTAAAAGGAGATTCTGATCAATATATATTTTTTAAATCATTCACTTATCTATCATCTTAAGGAGTCACCCCACAGCTTCCCCTGAAAACCAAACAGGACACCAAGGTCAGACCTTAGAAAGCTGCTACATACCAAGCAAACCTTTGAGCTCTTTTTCAGTTTTTCAACAATAAAACAATGTATACTTCCACTAAACTGTTTCCGTTACAAAGGAACTTAATGTACCAAGTGAGAATATTTAAAATGAAACAAATTTTGTGGTTCTGATGTTTACACTTTTGAGCACAGAATTCAGCTCACTAAGATTAAATTTGAGTCAGCTAGTCATCCATACTTGGCTTTATTTTATTTTATTTTAAATAAACAACAAGAGATGAAGATAATTCAAATTCCTCCAGCATTTCTTACCTTTATTACCAGAAAGACATCTTGAGAGGGATAAGTGATGGAAAAGATGGCAGATCTGGCCAGTGTGGATATAGCAGCAGGAGGTACATGTGGACGAAGCATTCCTTTCATTTGTTCAGAGTTTAAATCAAAGTAGAAATTTTCTGAAATCTGAGGGAGAAGTTGGGTACCTTCAAGTGTTAGCTATGCTTTCTATTTTTGGTCAACTCCTTACAAACATAACAGACAATTTCAAAACACAAGGAAAAACCCAGAGACAACGCCTCCTTTCAAATCCATGCATAAAAAGAAAAAAGGGGGGGGGGGAATTTTCATTATTTAAAGAAAAAGCAGGATTGTGGGGAAGAGAAAGGAAAGAAAACAAGGGAATGGGACTAAACAATATACACTTATAAAGCTTCCTCCACCTTCCAGTAGTTTCAATCACAGGACCAGGAATTATAATTGCTATCTGAATTGAAAATATCCCAAAACACACCCAAATAGAAGATCACCTTTAAGATCATTTGCAAAAAAAAAAAAAAATCTTGAAGGAGAGTAAGCTTTCTGTGCTGAAACATCAAATCCTCTACTGTATCAAGGTTTCAAAGCCAAATCGAATTAAGGGCTGGTTATCAACACCAGAGGTCACTAAAGAACTGACTACACAAGAGGAAAAAAATGGAGTAATGAGATGATAAAATTGTCTTATGAAATGTGATTTAAATATTAAACAAAGTTCACATAATATTCCACATACTTTCACCTGCATAACTGAAAACTCAATGCATTAGATTCAAGTCTTAAAGAGATAAATGTCATATTTTTAACATTTTTCTCTCTACTACTCCTACTATCTTGAATTAGGAAAACTAAAAGACTCTTCAAATATTAAATACAGAACATAAACAGGGAAATTAATGTATTTTGCTTTTCCTTTAACTTAATCCTGAAGAGATTGCTCAGTTTTGTTTTGATTTTAAGCAAGTATAACCTTCTTGTGCATTAACAAAAAGTTACTTGGACACATACCGCGATAGGCCAATGCTGAATTACAAGAGAAGGAAAAAAATCATAAAAATATAAATAAAAAGTTTCAGTTATTTAAGTTAAATTCTGTCTGAGGGGGAAACTTTTGAAGCTAAGAATGGACAATATAAATATTCTGATTTCAGGTGCTCACATAAATAATATTTTTAGGAAATTGGTTATGTTTCAGCTGAGGTGTTACTAAGCAGGAGGACATACAAGAACATTTAGGGAAGAAGGAAAGATGAGTGATGCTAGAACTGCAAATGCTTTCACGTGGGTTACAGCCAGCAGACCCATGAAATGTTTTCATCATTCTTCCAACCACTAGTATGCCACTGTCCTCATACAGGATTGTTTTGGGAATTAATCCCTCCCCTCCCTTTTCTTTTTAATATAGATTTGTAATGCTGGCATGGAAATGGCACCACACTAGTCATTAAAAAAAAACAAGAATCACCTACCTTTTTCTTTTCCTTAACATCATACAAAGCCAAACTTGCAAAAATGGGCTCAATTTCTATTTCGAATCTTGAAAGAAAGAAACACATACATCAGTAGACTTTCATTTTGTAAAAAATAATAATTTAAAAAAAAATCCTTCCTGGGTAAGGTGATGCCTACTACTACTGTTAAGCTGAGATATCATAAAGGGAGATTAAAGGGAAGTAAATTATTAATTGGGATAGCTGGACCACTTTAGCTTCTCTGCGAGGAAAGGACTAACTACATTAAGAAGCTGTCCTGTGTGCTAATTTACAACGCTGACCTGTTGGTATGGCTAAACGGCTCCTCTAAGCATTGCTGACCATGAGGTTCCTTTCTCTGGATAGTCAGGGACACTTACTCTGGAATTCTCCAACGTTTTCTTTTTTTTGGTCAGATAACACCAATATGTCAAAACCTGTCTCAGAAAGGTATCACTTTAAATTTAGAGTAACTTTTATCAGGGAAGTTTTTCACATAACACAAGACATCACAGAGTTCAACGGATATAGCATTTATCCCAGAGAGTCTTGAAAACTAGGCCTTTCTGTCAGTGTCACTGTATCGCTGGCCTAATAACACTCAAGCATTTATGCTACCTGAAACAGTTACAAAAGAAAATGCTAACTCACCTAATAGAGTTAAGCTTACGGTTAATTCACCTGGGGTGTCAAGGAAAGAAAAAAACCTTCAAAATCTGCCCCTCTATCAGACTGAGCACAAACTGCAACTCCTTTCTCCTGTCTGAACAGGCTCCCCATGAAACTAATGTCTAACCTGCGGTGAGATCTCCCACTACCTAGGATGCATACGTAAGTCTGAGCTTTTCAGTCTAGAACTATTTCTATCAGCGAGGAGAACGATATGCAGGAGAACAGGTATTTTTTCTAGGTTTGCGACACAGATGAAATTAACTGGACAAAGACATCTTAGCACTACAGTAGGCTTTCTAATTTACCCACATTTCTCCCCAAACTGAAAAATCCCTGGGGAAGAGACTAGATACTTCTGTTTGTGCCATTAAGATAGCCCAACCTTGCGTGCTATTAAAATTATAAACAGAATTTCAGAGATTACTGTGGTACACATACAAACATGTATTTGGGCTGATTTGCTATAAATTTATGGCTAGCAAGAGATACTAAAATAGCAGAAATCACTAATTTCTAGCATTAAACTTATTTATGCTAAGGATACCATTCTTTGGAGGGGAAGGTCCACTGCTACTGCATATTATGTTGTTCCAGTTCATAAAAGGCTGCAAAATCAGTTCATCTCTATGGCTATATTAGGTCCTGGAGTGCTCTACCAGCAGGAGATACGTCCTACACATATATCTCAGTTATGAGCCGCAATCTAGTCTAACTGGAGCTCTCTAATAAGAAGGGTTGACCTAACTGAGGACACAGAAGATGAATACAGCAGTGTGGAAAATCAGTTTTGTACTTTATTTCTCCAAGGGAATAACAGTAAAATTTTACCTTGTGTTATTAGAGAAGAGTTATAGGCAATGAACCAGCTGCAGGTAACCCTATATTCAGGAGCTCCACTTCATTAAACTTGTTTAACAGGTTTCTATTCTTCCAGTTAACGCTTGCTAAGTATATAAAGTCTTCACTCTTAAAGGGACACAGTCAAGGTTGTTGAGCCTAAACTTTGGCAAACCTTCACTGTCTTAGTTGTAAAGTATTGTCTTATGTTAGTCTTACGTTTTAAGGCTTAAAAAATTTTTATTCTTCACCCCTCACCTCCCTTGCCTTAAAACATCCTTGTTACTGAGCCAAACACAAATGAAAGACCAATTGCAGCGCCCTGTACAAACACACTGAAGCGTGCATGCTAGTATTGTGGGAGAGTTACAGCCATAGACTGACTGAAAATGAATAAACAGAAAAGCAAAGGAAGGTGAATACTTTCTATATTACATTAGTACAAATAAAGTCTCAAAGAGAAAACTGTCTGATGCACGTTGCACAGTACTCCGTAACTTCTACTTTGTAGAACTAACCTCTAAGCCTATGACCAACCAAAGGCGCATCCTTTTAAATGAGAGGGCAGTAAACAAAGTAGTAGAGTTATTCCAGATGCATGTGGCTATAACAGCCGATTTAAGCTCTCTTCGGTAATGCAGCTGTCTGTTAGATTGATACTTACTTAAGAGACAAACATTTCACCAGGAGTCTCTGGCCAAAATGTTCTTTGGGTACTTCAGGAACACTAAGTCGTTCTATAGGCTCCTCCTGAAATTTGTCACACAAACAGTAATTTAAAGACATGACATTTCTACAAACCACTAATACCACTGAGAAACAAACGCATCTCTCACTTTTTTTCTACTAAGACACTAGCACCAATTTAATCCAAGGCTTACCAGTGTGTTGCATTCACCAGCAACTATAAGTGTGCTAAATTAAATCCCCTTAATGTTATCTACATTTCAGAGGATTGGATAACTGTAAATGAAAACAAGTCTTCAGAAAATAGTATCTACGGCAAGAGAACACGCTGAACAGCGTGAGACTCCGGCAAATTTGCTAAGGTTTTCAAGAAAATTAAACATAGGTGATGTTAACTCCTTTAGTTACCTGGTAGACTGACAAATTTCACGTTCCCTATATCCTCCACTTTTTTTAATCCCACTCATATACATACAAAAATACCTCATCCGGTGCTGGATGTAGTGCAAAAAGCTCCTTATGCCTACTGGACTTCCTCTGATCTTCATTGTGGTGGTCAATCTCTTCATTTGGGGTTCGGTCCAGTAGGTTTGGTAGAAGGGCATCTGGAAGGGAGTTCTTCAGATCAAAAATACTGCATGCCCAGCTGCCCCGGGGAGTATCGTCAATTGACATTGAACGCCGTTTAAGGTCATCCTGAGATTCAACAAATTAAAAGCAACTTACAAAGGGAAAGGGACTGCACTTCTAAAATGTGACTATAAATTAGGTTTTATGTAGCAAGGTTTTAAAGGCACATTACTTGTTCATCCTGGTAACTGTTGCCATCTGGAGCTTCATCAGACTCAAAGATCTGCTTAGGGAGCCCCTTTTGCCTCTCCTTCTGTTTGTCTAAGGTGTTGGGATTAAATCCTGTTCCTAGTTTGTGGTATCTGAAAAGAAAATATTTCAAGTGCATGTTAGCATCCTTCTTGACTCCCAACCCTGGAGGCAGAAGTACAGAACAAAGCAAGGACTATCAGGGTGGTTCATCTTAAAGCATAAACTGTTCTCTGCAAAGTATTTGCAGTCACCTTCCACCGTACCTGGGTAATAGTGTAACAACGAGTAGCCCAGAACTGCAGCGTGACTCTGTTCAACTATAAAGCAATGCTGAGTGATGTCAAAAGAAGTATTATCAAGGCCCAGTTAAGGCAGTCATTAAATGTGGCAACTGTGATGCCAAGCTTAAAACAGGCCAATAACATGGGGATAGAAGGTCAGTGGGTTCTGCTGGAGCAAGAATTAAGTAGAGGCAGAAAACATTAATATCTTGAAAACCACAATGCCAACTTCAGGTGCGACTGTATGAAGTGCTGAGCACTTTTGGAAAACACTGACTGTCAAAGCCCCATTAAAATTTTCCCAGAGCACCTTAATCTGCAGAAGGACTTGGCCCTTCAGAGCGTTCTAGGGCTTAAGAGTGCTTGCTAGTAAACAGTCTGTCTAGTGTTGCTGACGAGATCAGATCTCTTTGAGTCACATATTTTTGGGAACCCAAATGGCACTATGTTTATATTTACATGCACACATGGCCAGAGCCACAGAGAGCAGCCGCTGTTCATATATACATCCTTTATTCAGGGGTTCAAGTATTCAGGCTGAATGAGTGATACAAGTTGGAGAAAGGACAGTATGATGAGCCGAGCCTCCTTGGAGTATAAACTCTAAGTCAATTCCTGAAGTAGTGCTGGGGTCACATCTAAAATTAATTGTTCAAATTCTGCCCTGCTACTAAAGCTACCACAGATGGATGCACAGACGTGGCAAAATCATGGACATGCTACCAGTGAATAATGAAAGGGAGGAGAAAAAAGGAGGAAAGTATCTTCCTCACTAGGTTATAATTCCTGAGAGCTGAACAATACGATGAGGATTTATCATTCAGCTCCATAGTCTTTACAGGGCGTCTGCCATGTGCACAGCACGCTGCAGGTATTACATGTCAATCTAACACTAACAGATGTAAATTCATTCTAAATCAGAACTGGCTTCAAGAGATGCTTGTGATTATTGCTGCCATCAGTCCAGGCTACAGAAATTATGCTGTAATGTTGAAAAGAGAATATTCTATTGCTTTTTCAGGTCAATGAAGAAAACTTATTTACCATTGCCAATACAACTAAAGCATTCAATTGCCAGCTTTATTTGCCCCCTCCCCTCGCCCCCCACCAAATTTTGCGTATGAAGAACCATAGACAAAGATTGATATAAAGACGATTTCCTTTGGGGTGGGAGGGAAAGAAAGATGGCATATCAGAAGTCATATTTTTAAGGCTAGAAGAGCTGGATTTAGTGCCTCAGAGCTAGTCAAGGCACTTGTAGCCAACCATTCAATAGGACTGATTTAGCCAAATCTGCTACCATCCCTTTCCAAGTACCAGATCACCGAAATTCTGGAGAGCGAGATTTTACTTGAAAAACAATTCACTTCTTCCAAAGCAGGCTTTTGGGTCCTCCACTCCAGCAGTAAC